TCGTAACCCTTGCAGTGGGGCTACCCCTGCGCTGCAAGAGCTAAGTGCTCGGTTTTTTCTAGGTTAAAAAATAACAAAGATATACTCCCTCCAGCCTCTCTTCTCTTCCACCGCAGCGATTGTATGTCCCTTGGCGTTCCTCACCTCCTATACACTGTGTATAGAACGTGATGACTCAGGGACCCTAGACCGCTGCAACAGAGGGGGAGTGAGGCAGCAGGGACTGGTCTGAGAGCAAGCCAGAACGGAGAATCAGGTGAGTATAACTTTGTTATTTTTGAGCCTAGACAAAAATGAGCACTTAACCCTTGCAGTGGGGGAGTAGCCCCACTGCAAGGGATAAGAACATTTTTACTTAACCCTTAACTTAACCTAATTCTGATTTAACATTTAAAGTCCAGCTGAAGTCACATAAATAGACACGCAATCAGATAGGCATTGTACTCCAACCTCCACTTTCATTGTCTTGCTTCCACAATCCTGATGCGGCAGTTGTGATGGATATGACTGTGCAATTTAATAGCACCGGAGTTGGACCAAACTATTTCAGTAATGTAACAGACCTGATCAGGCATTCTCTGCAATACAAGTCACACTTGTGCTGAGAGGGCGTGGCTATTACTCAACTCTGCAAACATGGAGCACTGCAGTGTGAGGGCTGGAAGCCACAAATCATTGCATGTAGGGTTACAAAACTATAATGAAATAAAAATGGTGTGAGACTTCAATTGGGTTTTAAATCCACTTATTTCCATTCTTCTTACTAATGCAACAACTGTGAAGGAGGGCAACAAAGAATTCAATTTTGTATATTTTATTATCTATCATATTCATAAATGCTTCTATCTAGTTTTGAGGTTCCTGGGTGCCCAACAGAGAAATCTTATGATGTTGTCGATACAATATAGGAATTGTAGATATAGTAGACTCATGTGTCAATGTATTAATAATGTTAGCAGCTGTCAACAGACTCCCATGGCATCAAAAAAACCCAAAAAGAATTTATCCAGAGACCAACACCGTTTCAATTGACCCTTTCCTCAAAGATGAGGCTTACTACTGGCTGGACTCAACAACCCATAACTAAACGTAAAGTACTAGAAATAACTCGGTACTGATCCTGAAAGGAATCACACTACAGTAGTTATAAAGGGTCGGAGTCGCCACTGCGTTCAGTAAAAAGACACTTTATTTAAACAGTATTAAATGATTACACATGAGTAAACCATATGACACCAAACCCCCACCTTTCTATAAAACGAAAACAATGATATAGACAACGTTGTCTCACTCCCACACATAATTTACTCATACGAACTGGCATATGAAATTCATGATTGATTGCCGGTGGAGCTCAAAGGAAAAAGAGTATCCAGTTAGTTGCTTTTCAGAGTATATCATGAGTTATCAATATTTTGGAGCAAAATAAGATCATTCATCCAAGATAAGATGGTGACAAAGAATCAGTCACATAATAGGTGATATATATATAAACAATGATCTGTTTCTTCAGATATGCAAAGCATTGAAAGACACCCTCTCTTAGGAGGCTGAAAGATGCGGGAAATGATCCGGAACTCTGTGGACAACTTCCACCAGTATATTCTCACGGATACACATCGAAACCCCTTGTTTGATCATACAGGTAGAAAGTGTGTAGATAAATTCAGTGTATCACTCTTTAAAATTCACTAAGTGGTCTGATTGCACATTAGCTACAAGTTCACAGTCCAACACATTTCCAGTCTTAGAGGATAGCTTCAAATGAAAATCCCATCCGAAAACACAACCTCGTGATATTCTGTAAACAGTTTAAAATACAAGATAGCACACCTCCAGAAACAGTCCGAGACAAGATAGAAGGGTAATAAATACTATCCTTGTCGCACTCCTTACCGATATGTCCCTTTTAGTGGGGGGTGCTTGTAGTGACCGCGGATGGCGCCGCAAATGTCAGCAGAATTGTAGAAATGTCACCAGCACACCACTCCTTTTAAGATAGCAAAAGCTTCATTTATTGAAGTTTTTTGTCATATGAACAACAAGCGCTTTTGGGACCACACAGGGTCCCTTCATCAGGCTTTAGCATTGAAGGGTACTCACGATTGTAGATCTCATGGGTATATGGCTGAAACCCCCGGTATCTGAATCAGTCTTTTGATCTGGGCTACAGTTTCCGTGCATGCATAGAGTTGCCATACCGTTTAAACAACTTGAGTACTCCGTTATTTTCCTCTAGATTTTGTCTGCTCCAGTTTTGATAAATGTGTTTGTTTTTAAAAAAAATAGACCATGCTGCATTTTTGTGCTGTTACATGCTTTAAGCCGGCCTTTAGAAGTACATGACTCTGTGTACTGTTATTGCATTCTCAACAGAGAAATACCCCAAATGCTTCTCTTTTTATATATATATATATCTATTTATTTCTGGTAATACAATGTACTTTTATAATCAATGCTATAATTAAGCTCTGGCCAACTCAGTCCTTGAATCCTCAAAGCCTCCCAGTCTCAGATCACTTGACAAAAAAAAGGAAATTCCATAAGGAGAATATTCTTCAAGCTGTCCATTATGAAGCCTGGGAGCTTTACCATTGGGGACTAAGGCATGCCAGATGTTGGAGTAAGGGTCTCATTAGGCACACACCAGGTTATGTGTAATCAGCTTTGATATTCTAGAAATGATGTAGGAACAGAAATCTTACAAATGGCTGGATATACCAGTGGTTATTTCCCTCTGTGGCACAAATGCTTTTACTTTGCATAGCGAATGAACAAATAAGTGTGTATAAATTCATGCAAGAACACTCATAAACTCACAAATAAAATTTGTGAATACATACACTGCATATGCATGAGTGTGAAAGAGTACTTAGTTTTCAGGAGTAGAAAAAGAGGGACCATAGCAGGACTAAAGCTCCCTTTAGCCACATGGCCTGGTAATGTGCATGAGCCGAATTGCCAGACACAGCCGGAGTAGAAAAACTGTCCTCTTCCTGCATGCTGCAGGGAAGGACCCTTGCTCTTTGTACAGAAGTGGTGGTTTCTCTACAAAGGGCCGACATAACTCCTGCTGAGTCAGCAATGCTCATGCAGGAGAATGGAGAGCATTAGCTCTGACATAGCAGGGTGTGTGTCGACCACTGCAGAGGGACCACTGCTTCCACACTGAGAGCAAGGGTCCTTCTCTACAGCATGCTGGCAGGGAATATGCTTTTCTGTGACTGCTTTCTAAAGAAAACAAACTTGAATACTGGAATGTACTTACTTAGCAGTTTCAAACTTAAAGGTCTTTTGGGCTTTAAATAATTAATGTTTACATAGACCCGTACATTAGACGAAAACCAGAGGGAACTGAGGAGGAAACAGGACCAGAGGGATTTGGTTCCAAAATAGGGACAATCCCTCCAAATGAAGGACATTCCCTCCAAATGAGGGACAGTTATGAGCTATTGGCACGGCCAGACCACAGTCATTGTATGCAGGGCCGCATTTACTCTCTCTGCTGCCCCAAGGCCGGGTTTCTCAATTGCCCGAAGCAGGGCTAAATGTAGAAAAAAAAACTACTCGCCTGGCAGCTGTGCTGCCCCTCTAATCCCTGCTGCCCCAAGGCCGGCCTTGTGGAAAATCTGGCCATGATTGTATGCTCCATTTCTGTATCCAGTACTAGTGCATAAGAATTAGCACCTTTCATGAATAAGGCCACTTCAGTTAGACTTTTGACATACTGGCCTAGTTTGTTATTTCCCTTTTATTGAAGGCGCTAGCAAAAGTGAATGAGTCAGCATACTGTGGCAGCTTTCTACTCTGCATTGTGTGTGCAGTGCACCCTTCTCAGTTATTTAAGCCTTTGCAGCTTGGCACTTTTCACAAGACATCAGTCATCAATATAAATGGAGCACATAAAACTCCTGAGTGGAAATGGATCCGTGATTATACCTTGTCTCTGCAGCCACTCTGCACGCCTATTATGCTGGTATTTATAGTATGCGAGCCGTAGTGGTTGTTGATGAATGCGCACTGAACGGTAACAGCTGATGGAAGCATTAAGATAACAGGAGGGAAGTGAGCTTGCTTGTATGTAAGGCAGTTCCTCAATATACACTGCAGATGAGCCCCTTGGTGTGAAGTGCTAAGTAAGAGGGTACATTCTTATGATTGCACAGGCACTGGATGCAAGAGTGGTGTGTGCAATGACCGTGGTCTGGGTGTGCCGATAGCTATATATATATATATAGAATGTGGCAATGATGGACCTGTGTCCATCACAGCCACTTGTAGTCTCCAGAAGAGCATGTAACAATGTGACAAGGCAGGAGCTCAACTAGGAGACAGTTGTCACTCTATTACAGAAAGTGTCAGAACAAGGACCTTCATGGTGATAGGATCAGCAGGTATTATTATATTATTATTTAAGAATAGCCACAGAATCTTTAAATTAATCCTGCTGACTCAGGTAAAATTAGACAAGTGTATGGCCCTGCCGACACCTCTCAATTCAACAAAAGTAAATTTTTCAATCATCGGTA